GTTTTCGCGGTGACCTCAAACCCTAAACCCTAAGCCTCAAACCCGCAATCCTACAGCCTAAACTTCCAGCCCGAAACCCTCAACCCTTAAAGGGAACCTTGTTATAGAGCCCTACAGTACCCCTTCAAGGGAGCCCTACTATACAGCCCTATAGTACCCCTTAAAGGGAGCCCTACTATACGACCCTACAGCACCCTTAAAGAGTCTTATGGCGGCAATCTGTCGGAGCGCTCCAAGCTGACGAGTCTAGGCCCGTAAATTGCCCTTTGAAGGATCCTATAAGGTGATAGGGTTTGGGTTTAGGGTGTATATATATATATATACACACACACCGTTTTGGGGGTTCCTTACTCTAATTAGAGTATATTACAGCCCAAAGCCCTATTCTAATTATTAAGGCCCCTACAGTAGCACCATCCCTGTTTGACGCATTACGTCTAGGTAACGATTGAGAATCGTTTCTCATTTCCCTGACAGGCATAACACACAACCACGGCCTTGCATGATTTTGAGGGCTGTTGAAGCCGAAACCTTTTGTTTGCAATCGTTGTTGTTGCCCATTCTGTGTCGGAGCACCATGTAGTGGCAATCTCAGCTCATTCTGTCAAGCCCTCATGCAGTGGTATTGTTGTTCATCGCAAGTTAATGTCAGGCATGCTGGGATGGCGGCTGATATGACACACAAAACCCTCGATGGCCCAGGATCACTTCCATGCCCACGGCACCCCCCTCGGCGAGAAGGAGGTCACAGCCAGGGCCCAAGGTGTTGGCCCAGTGGGTTTTACAGGCGAGACATGCGGGTTACAGGGATTGGGCGGTGGTTTGAAGGGCTTTAGAGGTTTTAACGGTTGGAAGTGTTTGCAGTCTGCAGGCCTTGGGGAGGTTTTGAACCCTGAGCTTAGGGACTAAAGTCTGGAAGGGTTCGCGATTCTATACATGGGAAACTAGATACTCTGCTCTATGCTGCTATGCTTGTGTGAGGATTACTGACTACTGGATACTTTGCAGTCGTGAACATATATGTGCATGTAGGTGTTTTTTACGGTAAGCTTGTAAATTCATTGTAAACCCAAAGCATCCCAAAACCGCGGAAACCCTAAACGGTGCAATCTGCCTTGGGTTTCATGGTTTTGAGCTTATGTCTTTGTCGGATTCGAACCCTTATCCCTCAGGCTTGAGGCTAAGAAGTTCATTCATGGTAGCTCCCTAAACCCTAAACCCTAAACCCTAAACCCTAAACCCTAAACCCTAAACCCTAAACCCTAAACCCTAAACCCCGAACCCAAGACCCAACCGGCTTCCTCTGGAAGCCTGAAAGGATGGCGGAGAGCCCTTTAATCTCTAGTGGGGTCTTTAAGCTCTAAACGCTAAAGCCTAGGCCCTGCACTCTAAACCGTAAAGACCCCAGAACACTAAAGCCCAAACCCCATATAAAAACTGCACTAAAGAAACACTGAGCCCTAAACTTCTTAGGCGACGAAGCACATTTACAACTGGCCGGATGAGAAGTTCCTGGTGCTCCAGGGGAGGGGGTGGGTGCTGGGTTCACAAGGGGCTAAGGTAGCAGTTCATGTGCGTTTAGAGGTTTCCATACGGGTTCGGGTTTAGGGTTTAGAGAATCTCAGGTATCGTAATTACAGAGTACTTGGTGTCGAGTTCAGGGATCCTCGTACTGATTGAGTTTCGAGTTCAGGGATCCTCGTAATGATGACCCTACTGGCCCTATCAAGTAACAGTAAAGTTTTACCCTAAAGGATGCCATAGGCCTCCGAATTTTCACCGGGAGGCACTTTCTTTATCCTTCTAAGCTCTCAGTCCTAAACCCAAACCTCATAGGGCTGGGACCTCTGCCCAGGTTTCCAAGCCCAAACCCCGAATTCCTGACCGGTAGTCTTGAACCTCAACAGCCCTAAGCTGAGGGCTGAATCATCAGAATTGGGGAATGTGGGAGTTTCCGAAAATTAGGGGTACCTTACTTAACTTCTAATAAGGATCCTACTACTTAGGGTACTATATTCGGGTCCCCCATTTTCGGAAACTCCCATGTAGGAACCTGATTAAGAAATCCTGGGCCTATAACCCCAAAGTAGTAGGAGTCATATAAGGAGCCCTAATAAAGCCCCAAGGTTTCTTAATCAGGTTCGATTGGAACTGAGGGTCGGAATACAGTATACCCATGGTCCTTATATACATCTAATATACTCACCCCACTATCATTAACACCCTATCCTGGTCATTCAGGCTCCTATAGTAGCCGCAGCTACCATCGCCCACTGCAGAGCATATAAATAGAGCAAAAAATCAAAAGCAACTCCACAGACTCTGAAAAGCACCCTTGAAGGAATTCTGCCCACTGCAAAGCGTACAAAAGCCCGAACCCTAAAAGCCCTAAGGCCCTGAACCCAAAAACCTCACAGCCCGGAAGCCTTGAACGCAGGTGCCCGAGGAGGTCACGAAGCACTTCCGCAGCTTGTCTGAGAGTTTAGTAGCCTCAACTACCATGTTTCCAGAACCTACTGTAGCATAGTCGAGGTATATTTCTACTATAGTCATAATAAGGAACCCCGCAACCCCCTATTCTAATTATAAAGGCCTCTACACTACCTGCTTTTGTAAGGCCCAGAGCTCAAACTAACCACTACATACGTGAAGATAAGCAATCTCTCAATGAAGTGGATAGACAAATGCCCTATGTCAGGGCCGAATCACAAGAATTAAATCCCACAACTATGATCTTGGTTTTAGGACCAGTGATTAGACCCCTGAACACGGACGGCCTCCACCAGTTTTTTCGAGCAAAAGACAGCCTGCATGTCCACAGAGGTTCTCGTGTCTTCCTGTGCGCAGGGCTCGCTGATCAGACTCACGCACTCCCCCTTCACATACCCCTGCACAGGGTATGTGAACAAGAGATTAAACGGAAAATTCAAGAGTCCTTCAAACACTCATCAGCAAGCGCCATCTGTTGACACTGACTCTGATCTACAGGTAGAGACAAAAACCAGACAGAAGTCACATTCCGAGCGCTCTTCTATGCTAGAGCTATCTCCTTCAGAGATAATGAATGTCTGACCGCTGGCATCTCGAACGTTTACAGAGCAATCTGAGATCAACAACGGGTTGAATCAGCCTAACTTAGCAGGACCTGACTATAAAAGCCCAATATGAGATTGGCAACCCTTCCGATCCTCAGATCAGCCCATGTTTCGAAGGAAGCTTACAGTCCTCCGACAAGGCTCAAGACTGTCTTCTAAGACTGACGGTGGACAGCCACCCACCGAGAATGATGATCCACGCAAGCAATGCAGCACACCACGCTGTTAACCGCAATCCTCTAAGACCTAGCACCTCAACCGCAGGAACTTCCGCTTCTGTTCCAGACTCCTTTGGATGTGAATCCCAATCTATCTCGGTACAATCAGCACCCTGAAATGCCGACCAATGACCCAGAATTAAGACCCTGAACAACCTCGGAAATCTCTTGAAGACTCCAACCCGGTAGTGGGACCCGGCCTACATCATCCCCGTAATAAACCACAAAGCCCCCTTCTTCGGCTTCGTATCTTATAGGCTGAGTTGAAGATACAACAGCATGAGATTCGCTCGAGACCTCCGGTGATTCATCAAAGAGCCCTTCACGAGGACTCAAAACACTGCTGACACTACTATAGGTCACGATAGAAGGCTCTGTGGTCGACGCAAGTTCAACCTCTTCGTTTGACGACGCCTCATCCGACGATGTATCTTCAAACACAACCGCAAGAGGGATTCTCTCTAACACCGGAACATACGGTTGCCTATGAGGAAAATCATCTAGTGACGGGTCATCTTCGGCATCCTGAGCTGCAATGGTAACATAAGGAAACGCCTCAGTTCCATGCATGATCACTCCCGCCGCAGATGGCGTGGGGTCAGAACTTCCGCTACTTCCACCTTCCTGAACGTTTGGCATAGGAGCCAGCACACTGCCCTGCTCACAACTTCCCGAGTCGTCAACAGTCTCACTAGACCCTCGGATCCCAAGAATAAACTCCTGCACTAAAGCGAACCACTGAGGACCCTCATAAGCTAGACTATTAGACCCCGATCTTAGAACATCAGCAGTGGCACACACAATGCCTACCCGTAGATGCGCAGAAGCTCTCAGCAGGTTCACACACTCCGGTCCCCAGTGACCAAGAAAGCCAAGCAGGGTCTCAGATTGAGTATTCAGAAGGATTACCAAGAAGTGCCTAGGACAAAAACCCCCTACTATCGGGAAAACCGGCTCGGCTAACCCCTCAAACAAATCCTCATAACAACCTATCGAATCCTCAAGCTGCGCATTTACCAACCCATCAGAGCCGCTGCTCCCTCCATCAAGATTCGGCTGCGCTCCGGACGGTAATTCACTGCCGCTGCTCAAAGAAACAGTTTGCGCATCAGGCCTAACCCTGGAGCTGCTGCTCCCCCCAACTAGTACAAGCTGCGCATCAGAAGCGTCTCCACTGCCGCTGCTCCCCCCGATCAGAAGGATCTGCGCATTAGGATCGCTAATATCGCTGCTACTCGATACATGTTGGGAAGACTGCGCAATCACAGGGTCGCCACTGCCGCAATCACCAAATGGACGTACAGAAACAGGAACCCACTGATGCCTATCCCCTACCAGAACAAACCTAAACGTAGCTTCCCCTTGAATCCCATTGTTACAGCTAAGCGTAGCCCCAGTGTCACTCAGCCAGTTCATTATGGCCAGAACCGCATGTATTCTAAAACCCCTAGCAGTACCTCGAAGACACTCCCACGAAGCGACCTGGTACCCCAGGCATGCTAGTAGCACATCGCCCTGAAGCTCAAACAGAATCCAAAGGTAATGTGTTCCTATGTCTGGCTCGGTCCCAACATAAGGAAACCCAAGTCCTTGACTGAGTCCAAGCTCAGCATCTCCAATTTCGATCGGATTTTGCGGAGGATTCTCAATCCCAACACCTGGAACTCCTGGGTTCAAAGGTTCATTACTAGAGCTGCTCCCCCCAACCTGAAAGTTCGACCCGGAAGGAACATCACCCGATTCATCATCCTCAATTCCAGAAAACCACGGTGGGAGAGGGCCATACCGTTGCTGCATGCTAGGTACATCAATAACATCACCTTGCATCAATTGCTTCCTTAACCGAACCCGCTGAATGAAAGTTAAACCAGTATACCGTTCCTTAGCTCTCATCTCCTCTTCAGCTCTACGGACCCGCTCCTCATCCTCAGATTCCTCCTCCTCATTAGAGGACGACGGACCATTCCAGGCACAACCAGCATTATCTGGGATGCCCTGAACAGAATTATCAATTGTTGACAGATTCGGAACCTGGGTTTCGGGCTCAGGCGGTTCGACGAAAGCATGAAGAATCTCGGTATTTACCGGCAATCCATCAGGGCATCTGTAACACCAACTTAGGTACCATAAGCCACCTATAATTATGCACAACCCTACCACTACCCAACTAAACCACCACTGGCCAAACGCCCATATCTCCTGAACACCCCTGAAAGGTTGCCCCAACACGCCAACCGAGCCCAAACCTGCTCCAACAATCACAGCCCTGCCAGTCACAGATAAGGAGTGCCCTTCAACAGGAGGCAAAACAGCCAAAATCGCAAGCCCAGCAAGCAACTCTGGTGAAATCCTCTCAATCAAATCCGCACCCACAGACAAGCGACTTACAACTCTGGCAGAATTGTCAAGGATCTCGGCTCTCGAAGGTCTGATGGATAACATATTCAGAAGTTCTAGGATTCTCGGCCTTGCAAGTGGTTTCGTGGCTAAGTCGGCCAGCTGCATTTGTCCTGGAACATACGAGACGACTAACGAACCCGCGTCGATTTTTTCGCGCCCCGAGGCGGCGCGCATCCTCAGGTGGCGGTTTCTCCAGCCGAGGCTTCCAACAGCAAAGGACCGGACGGTCGCTTGGTTGTCGCATAAAGTTGAGATTACCACGTCGCTGGAGATTAACTCCTCTATGATAGCGCCAACGGACTCGGCAGCAACAATGCCACTGGTAACCGCAACCAGCTCGCACTCAGCGGACGACAATGTTATGAAGGGTTGCTTGCTGGACTCCCAACACAGCAGCGTGCCACACCAAAGGATAAAGATCGCTTGACAGGATCGTCCACCTTCCGGCGCGTGCGAAGCGTCAGTGAACAACTCAAGAGTATTAAGCGTACGGGGTACAGGCGAGTCGAGCCACCAACTTCCGCTAGGTCGTCTGTATTCTATCGCAAAGTCAGCAGTTCCATACAAGTAGTGTAAAACTTGGCGACCTGTCTTGATCACGACGCTTGGCGATTTCACCGCGTACTGGCCAAGCTTACTGACAACAAAAGCTATATCGGGTCGAGTTTTCGAAGACGCCCACAATAGCGCACCAGTCAGTGCCTGTGCTTCCCTGATGGTTTCAAGCTTCGCATCATGTTCAATTTCAGGTTCACTCCAAGCATTCAAAGGCGACGATACGGAACTGTGGATATTGTACCTCGCAAACAGCTCGTTCAAGTACTTATACTGCGAGATGCGGTAACCACCGCCACTCAAAGCTTGAGTTTCCAGGCCACAAAAGGTTGTCGAAGATGCCTCACCAATCCACTCGGGATCAGACAACTTCCACATCTTCTGTATCTCATCAAATAGGGCGCTGAGGATCGGCGACAAAGCAAAGCCCAGGAGATCATCGACGTAAATTATCAAGATTCCATGCCATCTCTCGGTATCTTCCTTGTCGGTCTCGCACTTGACGATAAACCAGAGCGAATCATCACTTACCCCCTGCTGCAATGCGTACCACGTACCATCACACTGAAAGGTCAACGCTCGCAAAGACTTATCCCTGAACCTAGCCCATGCTAAAGGAGCCTGCCTCAAACCATAAAGTGCCTTGAGTACCCGCCATCTATGATTGTGAGAAAGAATATTCATTTCAACAAGGATGTACGGAGGCCTGACAATAATAACCTCATCAGACTCCAATTCTCCCGTCAACGGCGCATGAAGGAAAGCTGTCCGTATGTCAGCGCTCAAAGCTGCCCATCCATTGTAGGCGGCAAAACATAACGCCGTCCTAACAGTCAAGCCCTCGACTCCACTCGCGTAAAGATTATTAGAATCCGGAGATCCAGTAGGGATGTAATTCCCACAAGCCACACACCTGAATCGACGTTTCCCAATTCCAGCCTTCCTTGTCAGGACAGCCTTCCCAGGAACTTGCACCACTCGTTTTCCTTCCTTTATCAACTCCTCAATGTCTGCAATAACAATGCGAAGGACTGCTTGGTTCGTCTGCTCCAATGAAGTAACTTCCTCAAGGGCTGAAGGAATCCACAAGGCCAGCTCTTTCCTCGCCTCGGCAATGCTAACCGTACGCGTCTGTAAAAACACCTCCGCGGCGCAAGCCGGCTCGTCCGAGCCTAATGGAACATCCCTGCAAAGAGACTTCACAATGCTGGAACCACCAACTAGATATTCCTCCCAGAGAAGACCTTCATACCAATCCCTCTCATTCTCAGCAATAACTAGTTGTCCGACCAGCACCCCTACATCGGTACAGACCCCATGTGCAGTACTGAGCTCTTGCGCTAGAGCACGACACAGCCGCGCTGAAGACTCGTGAAGAGACACCGCATTATCGAGCCAACTCTCACCAAGTACCTCGCGGGGACAGTCTATCTCCCACAAGATTTCGGTATCTAGCTCATCCGCATCGTCATCCGACAATTGAGAAACTACCTGACCACCAATAGATTCTTGTCCAATCTCGAGGCCAACCCTTTCGGTGAAGATCACACGATGACATACAGGTCCGTTACCAGAGCTAGACCCCAGACCCTCAACAGGAAATCCTAAGTCCCTTAGCTCCTTCCCATGCTATGACCCATCGATCCTTACCAGACCAAGGCTCAGCAGAATGCCATTTCAGCCCATCAAACTTATAAGGCTTATTGTGAATGTCTTGGATACAGCCCGCTCTGGTCTCACCTGATGGCAAAACCCGAACAACAGGACCTTGATCCCCATCGCCTTCTACCCATAGACCTCCACCCTTAAAGTCACCAAGAGCAATTACCCATACTGGAACCGATCGTTCATTCCGGGCATCTCGATGTAACGGTGCTGCTGCATTGTACGACACGTAGAGGGTAGTATACGGGGAATCCAAACCCTGTCCCTGAACAAACCTATTCAGAAATCGCACCAGGTCTACATTCTCTTTTGCAAACCTCGATACTCCCTTAAAACCCCCTTGACTATACAGTCCAGCAATCGCACAACGCCCACACTTGCCCATCACCTTTCGGCTCGGCCGTGGAATACTATCGACTACCGCCCTCAGTACATCTAAAGCTTCAGTGACCCCTACAGGATTCAAAGAATAGGCATCATCTTCATTAGGGACCCGCATCTTATCTAAGGCCTTAACCCCAACTTCGGTGTCTACTAAGTCCCCACAATCCGACTCAGCCCCAAACTCAAGTGCTTCGGATTCGGATCCCGACGAGTCTACAGGTATGCTCCAGACAACAGACGCATTTCCAGTTCCCTCAGAATTTTCAAAATACCCTGGAATTATCCCAATAGGACACTCCCCCCCAGGTGACAACCTGGACCGTCTCGAGCGGCCTATGGGCCAATGTTGCACTGCCGCAACCGTTCGAACAGCAAAAACCGGGGGACTTTTTTCTTTAAGGCGAAACTTTGGCTTTGGGGGAGGAGAAACAGACTCTACAATGGGGTACACAGTATTTGTCAAGTGCACCTTACGATCTCCCTTCTTATCACGGGTCATAACAAGATGACCGCCAGCGCAATCCGGAGCGACACCAACATAAGTAGCTTCAAAAGTCCGCGGCTCCCAATGTTTCTTATGGCCAGTCTTAAGCCTCTTCCTTGCATGTAGCTTCGTACCAAACGGTATCAGACCAGGCTGCGGTAAATGAAGCTGCTCACAGAGTTGCACAAAGTTACGGCGCGACGCATGCATGACAGCCAGTGGCCAACACCCTGCAGGAAGATCCGCGGCCCTCAAAAGTTTGCGAGCATCTTGCTTCAAATGCTGAACAGCTACCTCGGCCTTATTACCCGCTGGATCTTCCCCAGAAGTTGACTCTGGGTGGATCCCTCGATGTCGAAGCCAGCCGATAAGTGCATGGCTCCGAAGCTCCTTGGCTCTGTCTGAGAAGTACTTGTGGATCGGAAATCCCGCCGTCTCTAGACGGTTAACCAAAGCCTGAACCTGAGCCATAACCTCAGCGCCTCGCTTGGACCGCAATGGTACACCCAGAAAAAGCGTCCTAGTCTTGACCTTCTCACCCAGGCCATCGGAGTCCTTAGGAGGAGCTTGATTACCAGACCCCACGGGAGGCTCGGCAAACGAAGTACTCGGATCAAGAGGCTCAACGGCCGGAAACACTTTATCCCGAACCCGTCTGAACAGAGCCTTTACACTCAAACCACTTCCGGCCTGTTGACCGAGCCCATCCAGCGCTACCTCGATCCCTTCTGGATTTTCCTTTAAATCCGGGACAGACAACTCAGCTCTGACCTCATCTTCAAACTCCGAAGGACAATACTCATCTAGCTCCCCCTCAATCGCACCCTTATCCCTAGACAGAAACTCGGGCCTAAGGTTGACAGGCTCAACCGGTACCGAATAAGCCGCCGCTAAAAAGTACCGATAGCCCTTACCCCTGTCCCTGCCACTAGCAACCGGATCAAACCCTAGGCCATCCTTAAAGGGACCAGCGATATCACACGACAGGGAATACACGCTAGTAACCGACGACCGCCAATGACTCCTCTGCCTGCCTTGCGCTTGGATACATACGGGGCAACCTTTACGAAAGGGTATGTGATCACTTCTGATGTGACGCTTCATCAACTCCTCCTCAGAAAGTTTGGAGAGAAGGACCCTCCTAGCAGTAACCTCATCAGTATGACCCCTTTCGTGATTCCACTGGCTCCAGCACCTAAGCACCTTAAAGACAAGCTCAGGAGCCCATTCCCCGAAAATTGTCAAACCTTTAAACCCCTCAGGTCCACCTAAAACCTCCAAACCTTCCAAACTTTCGAACAGGTACCACGAGGTCGTAAGCAAACCCTCCGACACCGTAAGATCCTGAGACCTACTCCGGTACCGAACACCATACCAATCATAAACTTCCTTCCACACTTCAGCCCCTTTGAATCCCAGGCTTCCCGGTTCACACCCGGCTGGTTTCTCCAACCGACATGGAGGCTCAATAACCAAAAAGACCGAAGGACCCTTAGTAAAAGTTCCCTCACTGCCTCGCCCTGTCTGTCGCAGCCTAAGTTTCACCGCAGCCCTATCCAAAGCCCATTGAACTAAAGCATCGGGATCTACAAGATCAGATGGCGGGGTATCCTCCTCATCATCATCAAACCCAACAGGCTTCGTTTGATCAGCCTCATCACCACCCTGAGCCTTCGCATCCGAAGCAGCTTGAGCAACCGCATACACCACCAGTTGCCTAAGCCATCCTACATCAGCAAGCGACAAAGCCTGAGAGGTTTCTGACCCACTCGAGGCGGTGAGACGATCCCACGACTGTCCTGCCGCACTACTTATCACACCCCCAATCACCCCAGAGGAAGCCCAGTCAAGCACTAAGCTGAACACCGGCTCGCACATAATGTCAGAACCAAATCTCCTATCGAGATCAACAACCCTTCCCGGTCCTTTCCACTTAGAACCCGAGGATGAGAAGCGCAACAACACACCCCCGGCATGCTCTCGCTGCACAGATCTTCTGAACCGATGGTTCCAAGGATGTCCGGTCTGGCCGGAGTTATGCCCTTCATTCGGCAATGACTGAACTACACTGAGGTCTGAGATTTCCGGAAACATGACACGAAGGAACACCTGCAAGTCACTCCGACTAAGTGAACCCTGACTCCTCAACCTCTCACACATCCAGACCCGGATATTGCCAGGACCAACGTCTCGAGGCACAGGAGAAATCTTAGAGCATCTAATCTCCTCCGACCTAGCCCTTTTTTCCTCATACAATGCCAGCAACTCCAATCCTATATCCCTGGTTACCAACGGACAACCCTTATGCACCCGAACTTCAAGGGGACCCCTTACCGGATGCTTCACGCAACAGCCCTTCTTTTTCCAAGTAATGACATAACCAAGTTCAACAAGATACCCAGCTGGAACAATTACCTGACATGAGCCTTCGGTCAGCAGGGTGCCTTGGTCATTAATATGAAGCTGGGTGGTACCCGAGGCTAGGTCTACTTTGATAACCCTCGAATCTTGAAGTTCCTCAACCGACATCGCAGGCCTAAGCCCATTAGTTGCACCGGAGTCAATAAGCGCAAACCGATCGTCCGAAGGAGAAGCCACAGCACTCAACAACCAAGACCGATCTATGCCATACTTGTCAAGCTCCGAACTCCTCAACTTCAGACCCTTTACAGCGGTGCCCTTATTTAGGAGCTTAGCAGCTTCAGCCAACAAAGCATCACGATCAGCAGGCGGAACCGACGAAGCATTCGCCCCTGTAGGATTCCCTCCCGAAGAAGCTGCCGTTTCTCTAGCATCCTCAGTAATTCCTTTCGCCTGAGCACCTGCCTTAGCCTTTGCTTTAGGCTCACCCTTCTTCGGCTGGTTAGGACTAGCTTTCGGCGAAGCCCCTTCGGAGGAATCCCCAGGTACAACTTGCCTGTTCTCAGGCGCGACCAATGTGCACTCTGGTCTATAATGCCCTTTCTGGCCGCAAGCTAGACAACGACCCTGCTTTCTAGCGGTACCCCGATCATGACGAAAATGACACGCATCCCCGAACCTACACCCTGTGGCGTCCGAGAACTTGGTGCACAATTGCACTCCCCCGCTTCCTTCACCCTTACCTTTACCTTTCCCTTTGCCATCTCCTTCCCCAATCCTTGCCACAGAGGCCCCTGCCGGAGGAGGCGGCGGAACAGGTGGAACAGTAGGCGACTTAGCGCTAGGAGTCTCTAGCCTGGCCGCCGCAGCAGCTGCTGCTTTGGCCTTTTTATCGGGTGTAGCTTCAACCGTCATAGCCATAGATTCACATTCAGCTTGTATGAGTCGTACAAGTTGAATGACTCCAGAGACAGACGGGTTATAATCGATTGAACTCTTATGTCTGAACGCGCTTATCCTGAATGCCACCATTGGCTGAAGGTTAAGGAGCGAACTCGTAGCAGCGTCAACCCCCTTTAACAACAAGCTAGGGTCCGGCAAAGTCGCCTGCACTTCCCTTGCTCTTATGAGGTCTTGTTGCCATCTTCTTAGACAGACGATTGCTTCCTTGTATGTACGGCAAGACTCTGGTTGTACTAATCTAGAGAGGAGAAACCCACGTTCCATCGAACCTCCAGGTTGATACACACAGAGAATCCGGTAAAGAATGGAGGCACTTGACATCCATCTATTAGTAATCAATTCCTCCTTGAAGCTAGCCGGCACACACGACAACAACAAAGACACAGCCCGAGACTCCACTCTCTGGTATTTGTATGCGTCATAATTCGCAACGACTGTAGAAGGGTCAAGTGCCAGTCTCTCAAGGGGATCTGCAACTAGCCAACGTTGATAGCTAGCACTAGCAGCACTCTCAACCGACTCAAACCATACCGAAGCCGATGCAGACAGGCCCGCAAAGACCTGACGAGTTTGCGCCAGCCAGTTACCGCAAGTAACCGCGCTTGTCGTTAAGTCAACCGCAGCAAGCTTAGGAAGGTCAACGATATACTTCGCAGGTTCCTCTGGAGCCCCACGTACATAATTCTGCCCAGCCCCACCATTACTGGACCCAGAAACACCAAACTGACCCGAATTCGTATTCGGATACTGGCCCTGTACTGGACATCCTACCTGCGTTGGAACCTGACCTGAACTTACCGGTACTTGTCCCGAACACCCAGTCAGACCATTAAGGCTCTCACCAAAGCCACTAACCCCTGGTCCTCCACACGCTTGCGCACTCCCAACCAGCGACTGCCCTTGGTAACCTCCAGCAACTTGTCCCACTCGAGGTGAGATCGGGGGCGGGCCCGGCGGTGGTCTGATGACTGTACCCCCAGGAGAAACCGGATACCCACAAGGATCAAACCCCGCTGCTTCCTTAACACCCGACCTCGGAGTTAAGAACCCAGATCCTGAAGGATTATCCCCATTCACACCCGAATCCTGAATCGACTGCCGAAACTGCCTAAACGATTGAGCTCTCGGCACCTCACCAAACTCCTGATCTATAGCCCTGAAACTCGGAAGAGGGGGCGGAGGAATAGCCCTTAGACCCGTAGTAGGATTTGCTACGAACCCACAACTTGCCCCATGATCCACATACTCAGATCGCCCGGTTGGAGGCATCAGCCCAAACGGTTGAGACCAGGACCCTCTAGCCAACGTACCCTGTAGCTCACCGAACAACCGTGGATCACCATTCCTGGCAAACTCCTCTATCAGCTGTACACTTTCAACACCAGCAGGAGCCGATCCGATCAGCAGACTCGACCGAGGATCAAAGGAAGCCGGCGAAGCAACAGGAGCCTCATGAGTATTCCTAGTCGCCCCACTATGCCAACTAGACCTCTCTACTTGATCCAGCCTACCACGCAACAACCGATTCTCCTCAATTACCTGCAATAGCAAAGACTCCATCCTATTCGGACTACCCGTTGCGTCAGGCACAAGCTCTCGTTGATCATCAGGAGTTGGCCGCTCTGAAGAGCTCAGAACACCTCGATCACCATCATCTGCAGAAGTAGATGCCATTTCCCGAGCGCGGCCCCTCATTGAGCCAAAGTCTTCCGGATTAGACTGAGGCTCTGGAGAACCCCTGGAGGTACCACCTTCTCCCGCAGTCACTGATCCAGTGTCCTTTTGACCAGTCACAGGTCCTTCCGTGTACTCTAATCTCGCAACTCTAGGAAGTCCCCGCTGAGCATCCGATCCATAATCAGGTTCATCCTTCCGTCCAGATAAATTTCGATCCCCTAGAGCGGATTCGCTCACATCCAACATCCGCCTTGCATCATCATCCAAAGTATGTGGCCTGCTTCTAGCCAGCGCTACTTCGGCTTGAACGTGCTCCGAATGAAAAGGATGTGCCGTGGGCATCGGCTGCGTCGCCCCTGCAGTAGGCGCCACAGCTGCTGTGCCCTGTTCTAAAGTGCCAGGCGAGGATTCGCCTGCCGCGATGATTCCAGACGACCCACTGCCGCCAGCGTTCCCTTGACTCAAGGCTGCCTCGTATTCTTGATCCGCAGTCGGCCTACCCCACTCCGGGTCGCCTTGTGCAGAAGGTCTTCTTTGACGAAACATAGGATCCATGGCTCAGCACAAGACGCACCTACACTAGGCTAGTTCCGAATGCTTGCCAGTCGATCTAAAGCCCTTACAGAGCTAAGGTTACGGCTGATAACCTACGTGAAGATAAGCAATCTCTCAATGAAGTGGATAGACAAATGCCCTATGTCAGGGCCGAATCACAAGAATTAAATCCCACAACTATGATCTTGGTTTTAGGACCAGTGATTAGACCCCTGAACACGGACGGCCTCCACCAGTTTTTTCGAGCAAAAGACAGCCTGCATGTCCACAGAGGTTCTCGTGTCTTCCTGTGCGCAGGGCTCGCTGATCAGACTCACGCACTACAAGCTAAGATCTTCTGCAGGGTCTATAGTCCAGGGTTTGTAGTTTGGTGCTTCAAACAGCCACAACCTACTGTCTTTTGTCGGGTCTAGGTTGGTTCAGGGTTTAGGTTTCTGGACGACATTAAGCTACCATGACCTATTTTCTCTTGCAGGGTCCAAATTTTTCGAAAGTACAAGCGCAAAGTTGCCACGAAGCTTCTAAACCCCCCAATCCCATGTAGAAGGCTCGTTTGGGGCTCTGGATGCGGAGTTTCTGGGGCATGGATAGTTTAGGGTTTGGGGTTTGCGGTTGAGGGTTTAAGGTTTCGGGCTGGGATTTACAGTTAGCGCTTAAGGCCAAGAGGGTTTCAGGAGGCTCAGATATCAGAGGGCCCGTACGCGCCACCACACGATGATGTGATGAGTGATGATTGACTCCGCTGACTTGCGGCTTAGCCATCCCAAGACTACGTCTGTGACAGGACGCTCAACTAGCGATTGAATCAATGCACACGATACTTGAGGGCGATGGGTAATCGGACAGGTAAGCAGCGGAGGTCGGCTAGGCCATACCATGGGAGCACTTACGATGGCGCTTCAAACACATCGTTGCTGGTATAGAGCCTCAGAGATCCCTATTTTAAGTACATGCCTCATCAGCACTTCTACAAACCCTACAAAATCCCTATCCTTCCCCCCGCCTGGCAAGCCCGAGGCCAGCAGATGGCTGGCCGTGGTGGCGCGCAGCGGAAGGATTCCAAGACTCCATCAAACAGCTCTTCGGTACCCGTAGGGTGGGTTTACATGGACCCTACGAACCCTTCCCTAACAACCCTGGATCGCGACCAGGGCACAGCCGCACGGATTGTGCAATAATGAAAGGCTCGACGCTGAAGAGGTTGATGATGTTGACGTTCAGGCTCAACGTCATCCTGTTTGGGACAGCTGGCCTCTCCAAGGCTGAGCGATGAATGCTCGGGTTGTGGAGAGGTGGCGCGACTCGAACTCGCCGCCGTCGACATGTCCGTGCAGGGCAGCCGAGATCTTTGTGTCTGCGAGTGGTGTCAGCATCCTGCTTCGTCGGCAAAGGCAAAGCACCTCTGTGTGGAGTGCCCGCACCTTCGGGACGAGCTTGATGCGAGAACTGTCGAGTCAGGACTTGCCCCTCACTGCCGCACGGTTTCCTTTAGTTGCACCACCGCCCATCTGACCCCGAGGTTAGATTGCTTCATGCCGTCTTGGCATACGCGTGGCACCTTCGGAAGTTCCTGTTCCTGTCCCCGGTTGCCTTAGGCTGTGGGCCTTCCCCCGCGTCCTTTGGGTTTAATGGGTCCCTCGTGCATCCCCTAGCCCAGAACTTAGGGGTACTTAGAACTATTTTTTTATTTTTTGGTTATTATAGTCCCTAAGAAACAGCTAAAAGTATAATTTTTGCTAGGGTTCTAAGTTCAGTATAGAAGGAAGAGTGTTCGATCTGGTAGTTTCCATGTTTCTCTCTCTCGAGAACATCTGTTGCCTGGGGCTCTTGCCCTTCGCCGTGTCAGATTACACCCTCCTTTTAAAGGAGTCTAGGACTGTACCATAGGGGCCTAGACCATTAGCACAACACTAATTTGGGGGTTCAGTATTATAGTTACAGTATAATGGGCCCCCAAACCCTATTCAAACTATTTGGCCCCTACATTATCATTATGGGCTTGGAGAGGACGTCTCAAGGGTTGTATGCAGGGCTCCCGAGTAGCACCCTTTTGCCCCTTTTCAGCTTGCCGTCTCCTTCTTAAAACTGAACACTCGGTAAAAGGGTACTCTGATTATTTTGTTACAGAACCTTGAACCCTAAACCTTAAACCCTATTGTTATGTGTAGAATATATGGACCTCAACAATTGGAATAGGGTTTTGGGGCCCATTATACCATAGGTATGATAAGGAACCCCCAAAAAAGTATTGGTACTAAAGACCCCTCTATTAGGAGCTTTCTCTATCGAAAGACGTAAGAAGCTCCAAGGACTCCTCATGCACCAGCGCAGGTCTTTTATGATCCACCCGGCTGGTTGCAATACAGCTCTGACAGGGGCTCTAGATTCTACTTGGAGGTTCAGGCGTAGTTATAAGTGGGGTTATAAGTAGGGTAGCTATACTTATAACCCATATCAAGGGACTTATCACTCTGAGGTGGGTTCGTATTCTTGTTCCAGGATTTATAGAGTTTACGGTGAGAGCCGGATCCCGGGTTCGGGATTTAGAGCCACTGGGAAGTTTCCGGAAACAGGGGAGCCTAAGATAGTACCCTAAATAGTAGGATCCTTATTTTAAGGACCCCCAAACTACCCTAAACCCTAAAGCCTCAAACTCCCACTTAGACTTTAGGTTCTGGGGATTGGGACCTGGGATGGGCGGATTGGAGTTTCGGGCTCAGGGTCTTGGGTGCAAGGTTCGAAAGGCCCTCGGCGGCTGGGAGCCACATGCGACCTCTGGGACACACAGTTCCGAACCACACTTTATTGCCTTCTTACGAACAAAAACTAACTACGCCCTTTTATGTAAGCAGAAGACCCTAGAAACATTGAAAAGAACGGCGACAGTCGGGTTTGCAGGAATGGGAGAAGATGCTTGGCAGCTACAAGGCCAAGTTCCCCGAAGAGGCACAGGGGTGAGTGGTTCAAGGTTTCAGGGAGTTTCATAAGGTTTCGAGAGATTTCGTCATGGGGCTTTAAGGCTTTATGGGGCTGTATGTGGTTTTAACCCTTGACCCAGTGCGCGGCTGTATTTCCGAGAAGACTCATAAACCCTAAGCCCCTAAGCCCTAAAACCCTAAACCCTAAACCCAAGGGAGCTTTGACTATTGACCCCAAACCCTGAAATCCCAAACCCCCAGATCCAAAAATTTCTAGGATTGAAAACCCTTAAATCCTAAAGCACCCTAGGAGCCCCCAAATCCCTTTGCCGAAGCCACGAAATCCGAAACTGAACCTTGAACCGGCGTTCCGCCAGCAGGGGAGTCATCTCCAGACACTCATCGACGGCAAGCTGCCAGAGGAGCCTCAGCATGTCTTAAGGGTTAAGTAATAAATACCTATACTATTTTGGTGGTTCCTTATTATGATAATGGGCGCTTAGGGGTTAAGGGTTTACTTACCTTGGTTAGTAGGGAATGGAAGAATGGTAGTAATAGTAGTTATAATTGTACCCCATTCCTCCATTCCCTACTCACCAAAGGTAAGCTTAAGGGCTCAAGTTCCTGCCAAACTCCCTTCAAAGCTTTCCCCAAAGCCTGTCAACAGTTGTAAACCTCGCGTCAAGACTCTTAAGCCCAGTTTTGGGTGGCTTTCAGGAGCAAGGGGCGCCCGGAAGGATCATATCCTTTGACATATGATGTCTTTCCCAGGATGTGATTGTTTCAGGGATCGATTTTTGGGGCTTCGTGTTTTTTTGAGTGGGTTTTTCGGTCGGTCATGCTGAAGAGCCAGCAAGTGCGCCAATATAGACTCTTTGTTCACTTCTTCTTAGCCCCAAATGGGAGTTTTCGAATATTAGGGGTACCTTATTTTGGGGTCCCTATGCTGAGGATCCCATTACTTGGGGTACTATGTTAGGGCCCCCTAGTTTTGGACCCCCCCCAAATTGAAAAGACCCAGGCCCACAGGGCCACATCTTTTTGCGCAGACAGTCATCAAATTTCCGGACCGTTTTGATTCGATGAATCTCAGCAAGATCTCTTCAGCACACTCCATCAAGGTTTTGATCAAGAGCACCGGGATGTATCGTGTCATTTCAGGTTTTTCGTCAGTGTCGAGCTTGGGTTCATCGATTTCGTCAGCTACTGGGGCTGGCCCGTAGGGTTTAGGCTTTGCTTCTTGGGGCTGTGGGGTCTCCTCCTATCCCTTTGAACAGCAAGACCAACATAACTTCTTCACGGACAGCAGTTGCTGAACCCCAAAGTTCAAACCTGACAACCCTACGCCCTAAATTCCCAAGGCCAAAGCCTTCAATTCCGAAATTCTAAGCCTCAACTCCCAAGTCCCAAGCCTTAAACCTAAATTCCCAACCGTAACCTGACCTCCTAAGTTCCAAACCCCTTCCCCTCCCGGCCCTGTTCGAAAATCGCGGGCCCTCGCAACGGAGGTTGCCTGAAACCTTACACGATCCTAAACCCTGGACCCTAAACCGAATAAATTTTAGGCTTTAGGGGTTCGAGTTTAGGTTTAGACTGTAGTGCTTTTCGATTTTCTGTTGTTGCGATAACAAATTCCAAGAGATTTTAGAGGGTTGTTGCATTTTGGTTCTAAGGGCACGCAAGATCATGAAGCACCGAGAGGCCTCATTCAGCTTACAAAGCCTAAAACCATCGAGCCGACGCCCTGTGAGTCGTAAACCCTACACCTGGACCCCCCAGAACCTACCATTTTAAGGACTCATACAAGGAAATCATAATAAGGAACCCTAAAAATGTAGGTTCCTTAGGGTCCAGGTAGACCCTAACCTAAACTATGTCGTCTGAGGGTCTATACAGCGTGAGGCCAAAAGCACCTAAACGTATCCTGTAGAACCCAGCCCTTCTTATAGGAAGATGCCTTCAGCCGGTTGTGTTGATGGGTACCTTTGTGGGCTCCTTGCAACCCTGAATCCTAAACCCCCTAGCTTACCTTTAGTTAGTAGGGAATGGAGGAATGGGGGATTATAACTACTATTACTACCA